TTGTCAGACAGGATTTTTTCTTTTCTTTTCTTTCTTTCCTCCCTCCCTCTATTTGTGGGACTTTGTCAAGCATCATTCACACAGCAAATGGAACAAGTTCTCTTTTGTCTGACTTGATGAGTTTTGAGTTAGGTGAGCATGGAAGGTGTCTTTATCCTGGGCTTCCCCCCCCATTCAGAACTTGCATTTGGAGTTACTATTAGAAAAAGAAATGCTTTTCTTTTTTTTTTCCTGTAGGGAGCTACATCAAATTTTCAAGGACTATCGGTCGATACAAATATTCTGCACTGAAATGGTGCTTTTAGCCTCAGTCTCAAAACAATTGGTAAACAGTTTTTGTGTTCCTGGTAAAGTGCATAAAACATACAGGAAATATTGTGCTGGACAGAGGACTGGATCTGGTGTCAGATGACCTGAATGTAAATCCTGCCTCTGTTGAAGACTATTTGTTTGATCATGGGCAAGTCACTTATCTTCCCTGGGTCTCAGTTTCCACATCTGTAAAATGAGAGAGTTGGACTCGATGCTCTCTACAATGCCTTCTAATACTTAATGCCAGACAGAAAGACAGATAGATACATACATAGATACATGGATGGATGAATAGATATATAGAAAGATAAATAGACATACAGATATATAGCCAGACTGATTAACAAACAGTCAATAAACATTTATTAAGTGCTTATAATGTGCCAGGCACTGTGCCAAGCACTAGGGACATAAAAGAGGCAAAAGCTAGTCCCTTCCCTCAAGGAGCTTATAATCTAATGGGGGAGACAGTATGCAAACGACTATGTACAAATATATACAGTACAAATTGAGAATAGTTAAAAGAAGGTAGGCACTAGGATTAAGAAGAGTTGGGAAAGACTTCTTGCAGAAGGTGGGATTTTATCTGGGATATGAAGGAAGCAAAGGAAGCCAGAAAATGGAGAAGAAGAGGGAGAACATTCCAGTGAACAGAGAAAATTTCTGGAAGCAAGATGAAGAAACAGTGTGACTGTTCAAATGCCTTGTTCAAGAAACAGTGTCACTGGATTGAAAAGGATTAGGGTTCCCTAGTCTATCCATATGTGTATTCATCCAGATAGATAGATAGGAAGAAAGAAGATTGATAGACACATAACCAGATTGATAGACAAACAGATAAAAAGATACATAGATAGATAGATAGATAGATGATAGATAGATAGATAGATAGATAGATGGATAGATGGATAGATAGACTGACATAGGTAGGAAGATGGATAAACAGATAGCCAGATTGATAGACAAAAAGTTAGATAGATAGATGGATAGGTGGATGGATAAAAAGAGAGATCAGATAGATGAATAGATAGGAAGGACAGATTGATAGACAATAGATAGATAGATAAATAGATAGAAATATTGATATATATGTATATACAATATTTATAACAGGGTTAAAGCTTTTGCCTTTCTTTACCTGCCCTCAAGAAACTTACATTCTAATGGGGAAGACCATGTGCAAAGAACCAGGTACATTACAAAACATATAGAGTATAAATGGAAAGTCATCTAAGAGGAAAACGACTAGGTGGGGGGTATGGAAAGCAGGGGGAGAAAAGCCCCCTACAACAGAAAGGTGGGGTTTGAGCTGAGTCTTGCATGAAGTCACACAGAAGTCACGCAGTCCATTTGCCAAAGAAACAGAGAAGTGACGTGACGTGACCCAAGTCACACAGACAGGAAGTAGCAGAAGCAGGCTGTGAACCACCTCCAGTGCCTTCAAAGCCAGGCCTCTTTCTACAAAGCCACCCTTGCTTCCCTACAATGGAGAGGGTACTGGACTTGGCATTGGAAAGACCTGCACTTCAATCTTGCCTTAGATATTATCTGTGGGACCCTGGACAATCAATTTAATCTCTCTTGCCCTCAGTTTCTCCATTTGTAAAGTGGAGACAGTAATAGCACCCACTTCAAAGGGCTGTTGTGGGCATTAAATCAGATCACATTGGGCAAAAGCCGGAACCAGAGTGTCCCAAAAGTCTTAGTGCAGTTTCGGATTAAGAAAGCTTTAAAATGCACTGACTTTGGGGACAGCCTGTATAAAGGTCATCTGTTATTATCGTCAGCTCTTGTTGTTATAGAGATTGACAAATACTCATTCTATTTTCCCTCTCAGCTTTCACAAAACACTTAGTTTTGAACCTCTCAAATACTTAATAATAGCTAGCATTTACATAGTACTTTAAGGTTTACAAAGCACTTGTATTATCATGTAATTGTGCGTATTATCTCCCTACTCGACTCTAAGTTCTGTGATGGTAGGAATTACGTCTTGTCTAAACATTGCATCTCTCCTCCAACCTCCTCCACCTTCCACAATGCTCTGTATATAGTAGATGCTTCATAAATGTTTGTATAATAATACTAATAATAACCAACATGTTTGAGTGCTTTTTTATTGTTTAGTCTTCTTTCACTCATGTCTGACTCTTCATGACCCCATTTGGGGTTTTCTTGGCAAAGATAATAGAGTAGTTTGCCATGTCCTTTTCTGGCTCGTTTTACAGATGAAGAAACTGAGGCAAACAGGGTGAAGTGATTTGTCTAGGGTTACATAGCTAGAAAGTATCTGAGCCTGGATTTGAACTCAGGAAGATGAGTCTTCCTGATTCCAGGTCCAGCACTCTGTCCACTGTGCCACCTAGCTGCTTTAAGGCTTGCAAAATACTTTATGATATTATCTCATTTTATCCTCATAACAACTCTGTGAGGTAGATGCTATTATTATCCTCATTTTACAGATGAGGAAACTGAGGCAGATAGGTAAAGTGACTTGCCCAAGATCACACAGTTACTAAGAGTCTAAGGCAAGATTTGAACTCAAGTCTTTCTGATTTCAGGCCCACTACTCTAAGTTCTCTCTCCCTGGAGGTATTTAAGCAGGAATGAGATGACTTTTTTGTCAGGTACATCATAGAAAAGGTCCTTATTCAGGTGTGAGTGGAACTAAATGGTCCTGAGGCCCCTTACAATTTTGAGGTTCTGTTATTCTCTCTATAATAATATATATTATGTAATATGCATTATATAATGCCTATAATATAATATATATATATAGTGTATATGTAATATCTTATGTATTATATGTCTATAATATATAATAATTCCAGCTACCTTTGGATCCCTAAGGTCCTGCATATAGTAAGCACTTAATAGGACAGAGAACAGAGCGTGAAGTCAAAGGACCTGGTTTCTAATCCCAGCTCTTACATTTACTACCTGTAACCTTGGACAAATCAATTACCCTCTTTGAAGCTCGGTTTCCTCTTGTAAAAAAGTGATTTTGGACAAGGTTGCCTCTACGATCCTATGTCTGAATGAAATAAATAAAACCCTTGTTGAATTGAATTGGTGAAGGCTGTGGCATCCCACATTAGAATATGTTTCTAAAGCTCAGGCATGATATTGTAGACTGTATGCTGCTTGAGGCCAGACCTGCATCTTATTCACCTTTGGATCTTACCAGTGACTAGTGTCTAGTACAGCACATTTCACATAGCAGGACAACAAAAGCTTGTTGTTGAATAAAGACCTCCAAAAGGAATGCTGGTGCTTACTATTATTCTTGCAGACATGGATTGGGGACATTGATCCATCATCAACAGAGCATTATTCTGAGTTGGAGTAAGGATGAGCTGCCCTGGTCCATACTCATTCTTGTGTCGCCTCTCCCTTGTGACAAAGAGCCTGTAGTCTGGAGACAGCTGTCTGGGATTAGAGGTCCTGCCTTTAGAGCCAAACTGAGCCATATAAGGTTCAGAACCTTGTTGGCCTTGTTAGGGCCAAGTTCTAATGATCTAACCGGCTTTGGAAAAAAAAGGAAAAATTCCTGATGACTGTGTTGGCTAGGAACCCATCTCAGGTCAACTGCTTAGAGGGCAGTCTATGCCCACCTCTCTACACCAAAATAGAAATAATAATAAATATTATCGGACAGATCTAGGAATTAGACCAAAGTACCTAAATTCCAATCCCACTGAACAGTGTTCCAAACTCTCAGCCTTGAAGTTTTGAATACAAATTTCCTTCTTTCAAGCTATTCACTACATGCCTGAAAATTAGCTCTCTCCAGGCAGCAAGCACCCCAAAGTGAGTGATGATGAGCTGTTCTCTCCACTGGAGCAGGGGGCTGAATTTTAGCTCAATTTAATCCCCCAAAGAAAAAATATTTGCAGTCAAAAGCACACAATAAACATGCTTATTTAGCTCCTTGCATAATACAGACTAAGAAAACAGCTTATTTGGAGATTACCAGCAACATGCAACATTTCCTAATGCCAAAGTAAATTCAACACAGCAAATTCAAGAATGCCAGGTGCCAATTACACAGTCCAAAACCTCAGCCTGAAAGGCAGCCTCCAGTGATATATCTGAGGATTGACAGATGGAAGTTCTTCTTTCTTTACTCTCTTTCTTCCTTCCCTCTCTCCCTCCTTTCTTTTCTTTTTGGTCCTTCCTTCCTTCCTTCCTTCCCTCTCTCCCTCTTTTTTCTTTCTTTCTTCCTTCCTTCTTCTCTTTCTCTTTTTCTCCTTTCCTTTTTTCTTTCCTTCCTTTCTTCATTCCTTTATCTTTCTTTTACCCCTCTCTTTTTCTCTCTTCCTTCCAACCTTCTTTCCCTCTCTCCCTCCCTTCTTTTTTCTTTCTTCTTCCTTCATTCCTTTCTTCCTTTTTCTTTTTTCTCTCACTTTCACTCTTCCTTTCTTCCTCCCTTCTTCTCCCTTCTCTTCCACCTCCTTCCTTCATTCTTTCCTTCTCTCTTTACTTCCCACTTTCCTTTTTTCCTTCCTCTTTTCTTTTTTTTTTTCTTTTGACTTGAACTCTATTTTAAGAACTGGGCCTCTCTTCCTAAACACTTCAATGTCCCTTTCAGTTCAGACACTGGCTGCTCAGGCTTCCTTTCCCATCTGTGGTGGAGCAATAGTGTGGAAATGGGAGGTGAGACAAAGGACTGCACCAGCAGGACCTACCCCAACCAATGACGTAGTAGTAGAGATGCTTGCTCTCCTCTGAGCCGAACACCTTGATCACCATGCTGTAAAGATGCAAACCTTCCACCAGCATCCAAGCGAAGGCACTCAGGAAGAAGAAGTGTAACAGCACTGCTAAGACCTTGCAAGGGATCTACGGCCAAAGCAAAGAAAGACAAGATTTGAGGCTTCTCTGGATTTTACACTAATTCAAAGGTTCTGAAACAGGGGAATATGTGGATAGAATTTAGTGTGTCCATGAGCCTGGATGGGGAAAAATAATTATATCTTTATTTTCACTAACCTTTGGTGATCCTTTGCAATTCTATGTATTTTATTTTAAACATTTAAAGACATCATTCTGAGAAGGGGTCCCTAGGCTTCACCAGACTGCCAAAAGGGTACAGGACACAAGAATAATTAAGAACCCTTGATCTAAACAAAGGTACTGGAACAAAATGGTTGAAAGACGAGCAAAAAAGCACCAGTTAAATGATGTTCTGGGAGAAGCAGCATGGGAAACTGGAAACACTTCTGACTCTGGAGATTGAGGATCTGGGTTCAAATCATACCATCTATATGACTCTGGGTTAAGTCACAACCTCCCTAGACCTCAGATGCTTTATCTGTGAAATGAAGAAGTTAAACTAGATGTTTTCTAAGGAACCTTCTACCTCTACAGCTATAACCTTTCACTGAAGCTTTACCTCCAGTAAGGCATGACTTACGTTCATTAGGAAAGCTAGGTAGTATAATGGATCAGTGTCTGGATTTGGAGTCAAGAAGATACGAATTCAAATCTTGACTCACATTTATTCAATGTGTGACCCATAACAAGTCATCTAACCTCTCTCAGCCTCAGTTTCCCTACCTGCAACATGAGTGTAATAATGATACCTACATCACAAGGTTGTTATGAAGATCAAACGATGATATATGTCATGTGTTTTGCAAATCTTTAAGTTCTATATAAATCTTAGCTACAGAGATCAGGTCAGATGTGTGGATGCTACTTATTGTCTAAGAGTGCACTCCAGCTGGGACAAGTTTATAGAATCAGAAGCCTAGACCTAAGAGGGATCACAGAGGATATCGAATCCGAGCCCTTCATTTTGCAGATGAGGAAAATGAGGCACAGAGAAGTTTAGCAATTTGTCCATGGTCAAGGGACAGGACCTAGAAGACACCTCAAAGACCACCCAGTCTAATCCTCTCCTTTTAAATTGTGTAACATAGATCAGAAACTCTGCATACCTTAAAGGGCTATATAAATGCTAGCTACAATTAGGTCTTGATTAGCACCAATAACAAAACCCCCGAATGGCTGCGTATCTTCAAATTTGTATTATTTGAAATTATAATTATGTAAAATATGGTAATTGATTCCAGCCCAATGGAAAACATGAAGTGCAAGTTCAAATAATGGGACCGCTTCAAGGGATTCATTATTGAGATCGGGTTGTATTATTAGTATTTTATTAAGAAACTGAGGCTCAGGAAGACTAGAGTCAAAGTTTTTTTCTTTTATGCCATACCAGTAGTATCAGAGGAAGAATTTAAACCAAGGTCCTTTGACCCTAGAATTAGTGCATTAAGTATACTATTTTGCTACATTCCCGGTAAGTGGCCAAGTTAGCATACAAACCCAGGTCCCCTGACTCCAAATCCAGCACTTTTCTTCACTGTACCAAACAAACAAGAGCCTAGCATTCCTCTTCCATTCTCTAACCACTTAGCGATGGGCTCCCTCTTGCTCTGACTCAAGGCCAGTCTCCACCTGCACCCTCAGACCCATTTGAGGTGGTTTCAGAATGAATCATCTCCTAAAACCTTTCCTCAACAATCGTGCACTGAAAACACACCCCACAGCCATGACTAAAGCTACCAGATGGAGCAGAAACAATCTCATACTGAAGAAAGGCAATTGGAGCAATTAACTCCGATAAGCCGTGGCAGCATTCTTTCTACAAAATGATATGCTTGTGCGTTGCCCTTAGGCTACAAGAGCCTTGTGCTCCAAGGCAACACAAACCTTAAAAATTTAATCCAATTCAATTCGACTTTCCTTGGCAAACACTTCTTAAGTGACTACAATGTGAACAGTACTGTCTTGGGTATTGGGCATACAAGGTTAGGATAGGCATAATACAAAGAATGAAAGAATGTTAACATGATCTTAAATTACACTAAGAGAAGAATCATCAAAACAAAGGAAGTGGTACTCCCAATACCACTCCTGCCTCGATTACTCCTACACCACATTTTGAGTACTGAGTGCAGTATGGCGTAATGTATTTTAAGAAAATCAAGGACAATCTGGAGCAGGTCCTATGTAAGGCGATCAAAGAGGTGAAAAGAGTGTTCTGCCATGCAAGCACCAGTTAAATGAATTAACATTGGTTTTTGTACAGGCAGCTAAGTGGCACAATGGATAGAGTGGCAAGCCTGGAGTTAGGAAGACTCATCTTCATGAGTTCAAATCCAGCCTTAGACACTTACTAGCTGTGTGACCCTGGGAAAGTCACCTAACTCTGTTTGCCTCAGTTTCCTCATCTGTAAAATGAGCTAGAGAAGATGGCAAACCACTCCAATATCTTTGCCAATAAAACCCCACAGGGGGTCATAAGGAGTTGGGCACGACTGAAAATGAATGACCAAATATATAGACAAACATATATGTCTGCAGAAGAGAAGATAGAAGGGGATATGGAATCAGCCTTCAAGGATCTGAAGGGCAGTCATCTGGAAGATGATTTGGACTTGTTTTTCCTGATCCCAGAGGACAGAATGAGAAACAATGGGTGGAAGCTGAGAGGGAAAAGAGATAAATTTAAGCCTGGGGTACGGATAGACTTAGTAAAACTCAGAGTTATCCAAAAGTAGAATGGGCTGTCTGGAAGTAGTAAATTTTCCTTAAGTAAAAAGTCTTCAAGCAAAGGCCGGATAACTCTTAGTATTGAAAAAGAGGTTTTTATTCAGATATGGTGGGACTGACGTCCTTTTTACATCTAGTGTCTTGTGAGTTTGTGAATTTTTCCATTTAGATGGAAGTCCAATGGATAGGGTCCATGCCAAGCCTCATCAGCTTCAACTTCCCAGGACTTTAGCTCATTGTACAGAAGATTCAGAGGACTCCTGACAAAGCACTCTTCAAATCTTTAATGTATGCTTTATACATTGAATACTATGTTATCAATACAATTATCATTTCCATTACTCTGTTTCCAACCTTACGAATATCCAAACCCTCCTTGAAAGTCTGGAAATCTAGAAGGTCCCTTGACCTTCTAGATTTCCAAATATGCTTGGTTTTCTTGGTTCAAAGATGTAGCACCTGATCCCTAATAATATTTTTTTCCTTCTAACACTCCTGTCACATCTTAGTTATTCTCTTCAACACTCATTACACCTTTCTCTTCTTGCCCCTACCCCAACACACTCTAAGTCATAAGGGTACCTCATCTAGGATCTATTTACAAGGGAAAGGAACAATAAACTGAAATGTAAAGATTAAGATGGTGGCTAGTCAAAGATGTGTATTCAGTAAGGATACATTAAGCAACCCCTATGTGCCAGGCACTGTGTTAAGTGCTAGGGATGCAAAAGAGGAAAAAAATGAAACAGTGACTGCCCTCAAAAAGCTTACTTTCTATTTATGAGATCAGGATGTGATTGACAACAGATGCACAATCAGTAACCAACCAACAAGTACTTATTAAGTACCTACTGTAAGGCATTGAGGCTGCAGGAACAACAACAACAAAAATGAGCATTGCTTGCCCTCAAGGAGTTTATATTTTACTGAAGGAGATAACACATGCATAACTAAGCATTTATAAAATTAAAATATAAATCCAAGATAATTGGGGGAGGGGGACACAAGGAGCTGAGGAGGGATCATGTAAAAGGTGACTCTAGAGCTGAGCCTTGAAGAAGGCTAGAGATCCTAAGAGGGAGGGAAGGCATTCTGGACATGGGGGACAGACTGTGGGAAGGCTTGAAGATGAGAAGAAGTCTTCATGAGGAGCAGGAAGGTCTCCATGGTGGGATTGCGGAGTGAGTGAAGAGAGCCATGTGCAGAGCAGAGATTCTGCTTAGCACATATAGAATGAGAACACACTTGCATGGGCCTGTAATCTTCTCTGCATACAAATGAATATATTTGCTGGCATTTCGTTGGTGATCTCTTTTCATCACTGATAACAGTGAAACCATCACATCTGGACTCTAACACCTTAGGACCCAATTATTATATGAAAAAATGGAAAGAGAGAGGGAATGCAAGGAAATGATGTCAGGAAAAAAGGAGCTAGACCCAACACAATACATACAGAGCAAATCCATTCTGGAGGTGACACTGGCTTAAAGGCACTCATAGATGATACCTAGGCTTGCTTAACTCATTGTCAGCTAAATATCTTGTAGTCTAGCTTGCCCCATGATTTTTCTACTCTCAAGACCAATCTTCTCCATAGGTGTTGAGCAGCCAGTAGAGGGGGAACGTTGAAGATAAATTAAAGGAAGAATAACCTGCTGGAGAAAATGGGATGGAAGGGGACGGGATCATTTGTACATGTAGAGGGTTTGTTTTGGCGAGGAGAAGGGCCATCTGCTCATGTGAGACAGGCAGGACATAGCAGCAGAAGGGATTTGAGCAATGTGAGATAAGAAGGAGAGAATAAAGGAGAGCAAAAGTAGGAGCAAAGATAGAAGATGGTGGGCATAACCCAAGGCTGAGGCTTAGAAGGGCAGAGGCAAGGTATTTGAGAGAAGAGAGCAATGTAGAGTTGAGCTGGTCAAGGTGAGGCAGGGAAGAGAGTGTAGCCATTGCAAGGGGAGGATCTGGGAGAGAACTTAGGGGTCAAAGAATTGCTAGTCAATGTGAGGACAAAGAACACAGTTAGGAGTTACAAGGCAGAGAGAAAAGTAGAATAACAAGAGATGATGCTCAGACAAGGGAGTTTCAGAGTTCATGACTCTGGATCAAAGGCATAGCCCTTACTATATGAAGCAGTAAGGTTAGGGGGAGGGAGGTGGGGAGGAGCTCTGGAGAAAGCTCATTGGTCCATTGTATAATCCCAGGCTCAGTTTCAGTCAATCAGATATCCTTCTGTTGACTGGAAGCCTTTCAATGTTTCACCCCTATTCTTACCT